AAAAAAATATTCAGATGGGCTGTAACAGTTGTGCTTCCAATTTCACAGTTGGATAATTTGCTTTATAAACTTCTATTTAAAAGAAAGTTTTACTGGCAATGAAATATGCTAAGTAAACAATCTGTAATTTGAAAGTTAGTATATTAGAGATACTTATTCAGAAGCTGCTTCTACTAATACTACATTTATTAATTAATATTTGAGTTTACTATGCTGTAGGAAAGTTGAAGATTTTTCTTAGATATCCTTTTTCATTACAATTCTGTCAAAATTTACCTTTTTAAGTATCACTATTTAATAGAACATCAATACCGTGGTTATTTCTGTATAGCAACCATAGTGACTATATAACTCATGCTGAAGTCAACAGGGCCAGAATATTCTGAACAGAATACTTTAATCTTAGTACTCTGGTGCATTTTTCATGGTGTAAACTTCATTTTTTTCCCATTTTACAGTTAGAAATTGGAGGCAGAAAGCTTAAGAGATTCTTTTTTGATCATGCAGTAAAAGAAAGGAGAAGCTGTATCAAGAGCTCTTACTTGGCCCTTGGATACCAATATTTGACCAAGGCTTGCTGAGCACGTATTATTGGGTCCCTTATGGAAACTGATGAGCAATCAGTCAAGTGCAACATGCCCAAATGAAAGGGAGAGCAGAAAATTATAAACTAGAAACACAGCATCTATTGTTATGCTTTTAAAAATAAAAATAAAAATAAAAATAAAAATAAAAATAAAAATCTATCAACACCCAAACCCAGAGTACTGAAAACTGAAGGTAGTCTGACAGGTCTAAAAGCAATGCAATGCCCACAGCACACTGTGCTAGCAACACAACACCTGTTGTCTTAAACCCCTTCTTGTTAAATACAATTTTTTTCCAAAATCCTTAAGTACAAATAAAAGGAGAGTTCATCTCTAGGATGTGTTTTCACATACAGCTATGTGAAATTAACCCACAAATAAATTGTCCAACAGACTGTAAATGTTCATGAGCATATTTAGATACACTATTTATGTATTTATACCATTCATCAAAACTTCTGCGTGTTCTTCCAATTTAGAAGAAACAGTTTCTACTGGTTCCTTTAACCCAGAGGCAGAAAATGTGGACTGATAATCTATGAAGTTCTGGTAATATTTAGATTTATAGCAGATTGAACACAGACTGAACACTCCACACATTTCTCATCTGCTTTTTTAAAATAGAGATCACAACACAAAAACAAATTTTTAAAGCAGCTGATTAATACATAACAACCAAAAGTTTAAACTGTGCTATTGAGTTTTGTGCTTGAGAGAGCAGAAGCAGGCTGCAGACTTCTGTAATAGGATGATTTCTATATGCAGTGAAAAGCACATTGTTCTCCAAGTTACTCTGCTAATGCCTGCCACAGCTGAGGCAATGCCACCTCTGGAAAGCCCTTTGTATCCAATGTTTCAGTTCACTAGCATGCCACATTTCAGAAAAAGCAATTTCTCCCTGTACTTCACCTGTGCATTACTGCTGTCTGTATGCACTCCGAGATAATACATACTGTTTACAAGAAATGGAAAGCACTGCAGAATTCACTTACTAGCTGTGATCCTACTTTAAAATTACACTGATGCACTGACCTGCTATTGGTGTTAATTCCAGTCTACTGAAAAGGCTGTTACATTGGTTCTGATTTAATTTCTAGACAAGAACTTCTTAAAGAGTTTAGGCAGAAGTGGTTCCTTGACAACCAACCAGTGGCATAAGAACATGCATTTTACTTGCAAAAATAAAAAGACCTTTTCTGAAAGCAAAGTTGAGATGGGGCACGTTCAGCCTGCAGAAGAGAAGGCTGTAGGGAGACCTCATTGAGACCTTCCAATACTTTAAAGGAGTTTATAAAAATGAGGGAAATCAACTTTTTCCTAATGTGCAGTTGGCACCAGCAGAAAAGTAGAAGCCTTCTTTTGAAGAATTAGAGATTCTTTTACTATGGCTCACAGATGTTTATAATCCAGCTAGAAATAAGTTTTACTTTTTATTTATGTCAATTTTCTTAACAAATTAAGATGGTTATCATGATTACACTGAAACAAAGATTAACATTTAATAGTAAAATAGTTTTACTTTGAATTTACTTATAGTCTAATGGGGCTTGGTATCATCTATACTAGAAGGAAATTTTAGTTTAAACTCTGTTAACACTGCATAGCTCTCAGCAGCAGTCTGTATAAACATCTGTAATTTGAGGTTTCTGATTTTGTGCAGTTACTGAACAGAGAAAATCTGTCTTGAATATGCCCATAAAAAGATGTTATTTTTGTTTCCTACTGAAATACAAATGTGAGAAACAAAACACATTTAAAGTTGACAAAACATTTCATTCTGTCAAAATGAAATACTTTTTTCCAAAGTCTCTGGCCCCTTAAACACTGATTTCAGTTAAATTTTGTGGGTTTTTCTTCCCAAATGTCACAGCAAAATGAAAACTTGAAACATCTTGTATAAAAATTGTCAAAACAGTTATTTTCTAATATTGAACATTATTCTTACTTTGTTTAGAAGCAGTCTCCAAAGGCAGTTTTCAGTAGCAGCCTTCAAAGTATTTTGAGTAAGGAGCCTGAAATGGAGCTTCATGAAAAACTTTAGCTTCACTAACAGTTTAGACAAATCTACTTAACCAGTATGTACTTCTGTGTTGCATGTTCTCTCAGTTTGGAAGATCTACATGATGTTTATTTTCTGTACCACTTTCTATGTGTCATGAAGCATATGTTGTAGGAAACTGATTGCTTTTCAGGCTGACAGCTGCCTTGCTGTTCCAGTTCCTGTCACAAAGGAAGATATTTAAGCTGAGAAATTCCTCAGTAATATATTTGGACACTTTTAAAACTTAGCTATTATAAAGGCCAGGGTTCCATTCATATTTGGTATTCTGATTTCTTCATAGAAATCGCTCCTTTATGGAGACAGATAATTCCAATCAATACTAATTTCCATTCTTCTAGAAAACTCTATTTTATACCACTCAGGTGGGAAAACCCTTAATATATATCAAGTAATCAATTTTAAACATTCTTTAAATTCTTCAGCAATTACCTAGGTACTTAGAGTTCATTTAAGTCAGCCAGAGAGCCATACTTCATTTTTAGGCTTGCTTAGTCTTTTTCAGCATTCTTCTGGTGCATCAAGAGTCACAGAGGTTCATGCAGCTTCTTATAAACAGACAGATCTCTCACCACCAAGTTTGTCAGTGAGCTGACAAGCATATGTTCTGAAATGTCTTTGAGGCAGGAGATGCCTAGCTTTTCTACAAATACTGTTAATCTAATTATTTTGGCATTTCTCCCATGAAGAATGATTTTTCATTTTCATTCTTGGATTTATTATAGGATGGAAAATTGCTAAAATTCAAGCTTATGTTGCCATTCAACTTATAAATTCATTCCACATTCATTTGCTTTTTGGTCCTTCTGGCAAGGCTAGAGCTACATAGAGCATATTCAGTTAACACACAAATGTACATGGTCTATTGAAATCTTGACGTAACGTCACACAGCGCTGCTTAATGATGATTCCTTCCAAACCATTTCCTTCAAGAAATGCAGAAAGGCCTGCACACAGTAGGTCATCTCACAGCTGACTTCTTGACAGACCACTACCAAAGGTTTCACCCTATTTAATATTTCATATGAACACTTATTTTTGTAATTCAGGAACAGTTGATTACTTTGAATTGCAGGTGCTATACCACTGTGATTGCAGTAATTAAAATAATTTTGGTCGGAAGAGGTATAATTAAGTTATTAATATACACAGTCTTTGTCACACACAGAACACAGGGCTTTTTGACAAGGCAATAGATAAAACATGGCAACACTGCAAAAGGTAAAACTGACCAGTCAGGTCAGTAAGTTCAGGATATCTGTTCACAGGATCACAGAATTGTAGGGGTTGGAAGGGACCTCCAGAGATCATCGAGTCCAACCCCCCTGCCAAAGCAGGTTCCCTACAGCAGGTCGCACAGGTCGGCATCCAGGCAGGTCTTGAACATCTCCAGAGAAGGAGACTCCACCACCTCCCTGGGCAGCCTGTTCCAGTGCTCCGTCACCTCACTGTAAAGAAGTTCTTGCGCACATTTGTGTGGAACTTCCTATGCTGCAGTTTCCAGCCGTTTCCCTTTTTCCTATCTCCACACACTGCTGAAAACAGTCTGGCCTCATCACTCTGCCCCCCACACCTTAGATATTTATAGACCTGGATCAGGTCCCCTCTCAGTCTTGTTTTCTCAAGGCTGAACAGACCCAGTTCACTCAGCCTTTCCTCATAGGAGAGATGCTCCAGGCCCCTCACCATCTTTCCAAGAGATCCCTGTCTTTTTTGTACTTTTTTGTTCCTTTTCATGGAGTTTCATTTTTTGTGGAAGTTGCACAAAAAGTGTTACTGTATAGAAATTACAGTTACTGCAAGATAGGTTATGCTTTTTCCTTTCTGCTAACATGACAATTTATTTAGTTTCAGCCTATACTAGCATCTTTTGATGGTTATTTTTCTATTGAATAAAACCTATTAGAAATTTACATTATTTAAAAACAAAGTGTGAATACATTTTCAAGAAAGCTTGCCAACCCATTCCTTCCTTCTGTTATAATAATAGGAAAATAACCTTGGCAGAATTTTTAGAAAATGGAATTGCAATCTTCTGTTTCTTAATTACAGAGCATAGCTGCAACATTCATTAGCCTGCAATTGGCAAGATTCCACAACTTTCAGGCAATCCAGCCCTTTCTTGCTAGAAATGGAAAGTAATGTTAAGGACCTAAGCCAAATCCAAAGAAACAGCCAGTATTTGCACTGGCCTGTGGTCAGAATTCAACAGCACAGCGTCTAAATGCACAAAGGACTTAATCCACAGTGGTTTTCAGTGAATCTCTAAGATGGGATATAAGAACATTCACAGAGGTTTTGTGCATTTTTGGCTACAGTTGTCAAGACACGAGGTTTTCAAAACTTACACATACCTGACAGTTGGAAATGATGAGAATAAGGCAAATTCTTCAACTCTAACGTTGCAGAGGAATCGGTTGACACCCTCACTGTATGAAGAGACAGTGACCCCCAGGACATTAGTGATATTTTGGTGACTGAAAGAGAAAAAAGAAGGTAGACTTTTATAAAAAGAGATCAAAAATCTCAAATATAGACTTTAATGTATTTTACATATATGTGTATATACATTACATATATATTTTATTTGAGAATCCCTTTTGGCTTTATTTACAGCTATGATGATTATTTTGCTGCATGGTTTCTTTTTATGCCTACTTGTTTGTGGACATAATTACAGTCTATTTTACCACTGTATCTCTTTAAGGGTATGTCTGAAGGTCATACAACTTTTGGATGATCTCCTGCAGACTTTCACTTATGTGCATGAAAAAGGTGAAAGAACATGCAAGCACACAAGTCTTCACTGCAGCTATACACATGCTATATATTTAACATAAATAAATGTTAAATATATAAATAAAAAGGAGATATATCTCCTTTTCCATGCAAGCTGAAGATATTTACCTTGACTGAAAAATCATATCTTCTATGCTATGAGTTACATCACGGGTTGAGATAGCAGATTTGTCTAGTTTAGATGTTCCCACAAAGAGTAATACCAGGCTTTACTCTCAGGCAACACAGTTGCTTGGTTTATGTGCACTCTGTGCTCCACAGTCTTAAGCAATTATTTTTTTCTGGAAGAAACTTACCCCCAAAAGAAGCCATCTTGTACTAGTTTGGCAGAGATATTTAAATTTAGTCTAGGAACATTAAAATTAAGCACTGTATAAGAATGCTTCAAATTCAAGGTTCCACAATCATTTTGCAACAAATAGGAAAGCAAATAAAATTCCCCTCTGGCTTTTATAGTTGTGAACTATTCATTGTTTTCCTCCTCAGGACTGCTACTGGAGACAAGGTAGTCAAATATGTCTGCTCTGCATGTATGGGAATGATGTCAAAGATGAGCCCTTGAAAGGTAATCAAACATTTTGAGATGAAAGAATACAATCAGTCATTGTAAGGCGGTTCCCATTCAGTGCAAAACGCTTCATCAACTCTACGACAGATCAGTACATATTATAAAGCACAATGTATGTCTCAGGTCATATATCAGTTTACCTTGCACAGATCTTAAAATGAGATCTGCCTTTTCTGATTTGTAGTCTGGCATAGGATGTTTGCATTTGCACAGGTGCTGCTAGATATCTGCACTTGTATATCACTTTCATTTGCACAGGTAACGTGTCTGGGGGTTTTAGATCTATCAGTGCCCACTTGCATCATTCTCAGTCACTTGGTCCAGATGAGAAGAATATTTGTCTAAATCTGCCATACTTGGGTAGACTTATCTGGAGAAAGTCAGGCAATATGACATTCAGCAGAAATAGTCTATTAAATTTAAAAGCTATGCTTATATAGTTCTCCAAAGAGAGACTGACAACATCAGTAACATTTCCAACATTTCTTTGTTTTCCACTGACTTCATGCACTAAAGTATATGAAAAAAAAACAAACAGTAAAGGGGTGATGATGCCAGAAAGCAAAATAAAAATGTTAAGTCCTGCAGTTTAAGCAAAGCACTCATCAGAAATAAATCACAGCTCCAGGTTCATGCCCCAAAGACCAAGCCATAAGTTTATCCAGGGTAGTAGAAAAGCCTGGCTTTTTAGAAGAAGTAGAAAAACACCTCTTACTGTAAAAAAATCATGGATTTGTAGGCAAGTTTTCTTATTACCGTAGAAGACAGCAACCCTAGTGGTGCAGAATAAAACAAAAATGCTCAGAAGATCACATTTCCTTTCATTTTGAGCTTCTAATAATCTATGAGGACCTTCCAGAATATCCTGACAACTCATTAGGATCACCCCTGTCATTTTCTTGAGGTATAGTATGCATTCTCCATGCTTGTTCTGGGAACAGGAAGAATTGGACATACCCTAAAACTTCTGCTAAGTCTTCTTGCAAAGAGTTATGCAAATATTTTTTGGGTGACAATAAAAGAAGTCCAGTTTGCAGTCTAGCTATAGATTTAGAATTAGCTTTATCTTTTTTTTTTATTCCTGAAAGACAGCTTTAAACACTGAATGTATTCAGACATCAATGCATGAAAAATTAACTGAAAATGGCAAATTTTACAGACTGCCTGTGTAAGCAAGTAGAGCAACTAAGCTGCTAGCATCTAACACCTGCCTATCCTTGGGTAAAACTGATTCAGATTTCAGGAATTACTAGATAATTAGATAAACTCACGTTCTCCATAGATTAATACAAATTATAGTTGAAGATACCAACCAGATGAATTTGTGTCTTATACATCATGTATCACGTACATCAGTTTGATATTATGGATTTTCTTAAAATAATAAGATCATATAAATTAGGCTTAGTAGAATTGAGAACAGAAACTGGAAGCTAGAAAGACATCCAGTAATTTTCAGAACTAATAAACAATTTTGTAAACTAGGTCTTCTTCTGAAATAAATTCAATTTTTCATTGTCTTCTTTCAGAACAGGAATTTGCTGCATATTTTGGGTAACATGGTGAAATTTTTGTAAATTCTAGACAAAGAAGCAGCACCAGGAATTTTTCTCCATGAATTTAAGATGTTTCATTTTGAAACCTATGTACGGAGACATGTATTTACAGAATAAGATTGAATCATGTAGCAACATATAGACGCAAACAGAAATGCTCGAATTGACAGAGAGAAAAAGAAACCCTGCAGATTATCCTGTCTCTTGAGACTGAATCTACCTTGGACTGTTTTTTGGCACAGTTGCAGATGCTAATTACCTCTGACTCAAAATTGGTGACCTCCAATGTGGCCTTTTTCTGCTGGTCATACTGTAGTATAATTGCTGCAGTGACGGTGTGGAAGATTAACATTTCTACATAGCAAAATTTTCTAAAGTAGGACATTTTATATATATTATGTCTACTGAGGTATTATTTTTTCACTTGCTTGACCCACACGCAAGACTGTGCTTGCATTTTCATAACAATATTCATGCTAGCTTCAAAAATGGACTGCTCATGCAAGGCAAAAAGATTTTGGCTTTTGATATCAAAGGATAAAATTGTTCTTATGACTAACAAAGGCTTTTAATACCACTATCAAAGATCCAAATACTTCCCTCACACTTCTTGATAACTATCTCCTCTGTATATTATAAGGCAGCCAAAATCCAAGCAGATTTAAAAAGATCATAATTCATTGGAAGGATCAATCTGGAAAAGAAATTCCATGTCATTTTAATCATATTTTGAGAGAAGCAGTGACATTTTTTGTCATTCAGTTCAGTAATTCAGAAAGCACTCCTCCTCATTGCATACCCAGCAACACATGAAAATGATAGAATAAAATAATGTATTCCCTTCTGAGAAACAGCTAACATGTTACTTGAACATTTTGGGGGATGATGAACTGTACTGAATACTAATGCGCCTGTGGAAGAATGGAGACCATTGATGCTTTTCATGTCTTCTTAACTTTATAAGCTTTTACAATAACGGTAAAGGAAGAAAATGTAGTCTTATAAATCCCTAAGTTCAATAAACAGAAGATTTGCAGCACCCTCAAAATTGTTCCTGTCATAGGGTTAGGGAATATCCAGCATGCCAGATTATAGAGCCAAGTTGCTCTGAGAGGAGAGAAAAATCAGTATTTTACAGCTAGTGCCCATTTCAACCTGTACTCAGACAAGTGCATTTTGTGAAGGTGGGATGTACTGATAAAAAATGGTGTTGGTAAACCACATCAATTTCTGAGAACCTAAAGAACATGCTGTCAAGACAGTATGGATTATGAAATTTGACCATGCTAATGAAAAATCCAAATCAGAAAAGGACATCCTTTCAACTTCTAGAAAACCTTTTCTTTTTCCTTTAAATTATTAATTTTCATTTTAGGACAGTTTTCCCCCATCCCAAACATACAATTTCTGAGCATGCAATACTGAATAACAGTAGAATAAAAAACCATATCTGATTGAAAATAATTTAGTGGTCTCCCATTGCCTTGAAGTGTAATTTTCTACTGAATCGAGACTCTTAAGATACATTTTAATCTTTCAACTCTTTATTTGTCATTGACAAGGAGAAGCAAGGAAAGCACAATAAATCCCTGTTTGTAGAAGTAGGATAAAATGAAACCACTCAAGCATTTACCTTATATTACCAAATGTGAACTTTAGCTCCTCAAGGCTCATTTGCTGGACTTCTCCCCCTTACTTGTCATGCATTTGCTTAATAATTCAATTTTTAGGCCAGATTTGACAAATACATCTTTCATAAAATATATGAAAACTTGCCTTGTCTGCAAAAGGAGCACTAAGATTTTATCTTTGCCTGTCACAGTGTAAAAGAGAGTGAATATATTCTGAGATACTTGGAAGGGTGTTTACAAAGACAAATCTATTATGTTGCTTCTAAACCTATATTTGCAGAGCTGACAGACAGAGAAAGCAGACTCCATCTGCATCTCCCTGTTCATTAGGCTGTGAATAGGTGTGAATATATGTATACTCATGGGTTTCATTACAGAAATACCACACAATCTTCACAGTTCTAGCTTGTCAAGCAGAAAGCACTACTCACCTCTATCTTGAAGGCAAGGAAATGGAGCCTGAGATTACGTGTGATTTATTCAAGGTCAGAGAGGAAATCTGCACTAAGATTTGAACTTAAGTATTCCGATCTCTAAAATTCAACTAACCCAACCATTATACCATCTTTAATCTATTGAGGATGCAATGCTGAACACACCCCTAAGGTGCGTTCTGAATTGGAGTGTGAGTTCTCAGTCTGCAGGAAAACAAATGCAGAAGCTGAGTAAACAGTAGGCTAAGGCAAGTTGTTTGATGAATAAAAGGTACAGCCAGGAACACTGAAAGTTATTCTTTACAAAGAACCAAAAAAAAAACCCCAAAAAACACAGAACAATTAGAAGACATTGCCTCTTAACAGTCTGGAAAGAAGATTCTATCTAGTACTGCAGAACTGGGACAGTGACTGGCTGAATTCTGCACAGGGAATCATGATTCAGCTGATGACAGAAGTGAGCCCCACAAGGCAGTAAACTGTGATATC